CACTGCTTGCTGTCCCTAAAATAGTAAGTAAACAGAAAGAACCTCAAGATGTTGATGGTTTTCATGTCTGGCGTGAAGAATCAGTCAATTGGTATCAGTTATTCCTTCTTTAAGTAGACAAAACTAATTAATATGAGACCACTTGAAAAAAGTCTTAAAAATAAGTCTATTGGACATCATAATGTTATCAAAAGTATGATCTCAACATTTTTCAGGCTATCGAACATTACTTATTGTACTTTATAGTTTGTTCTGTGACAACTGAGATCATAAGCTTTTGAATCAGGAGGGCATCTAACTCAACTGTCTCCTTTTACAGAAAAGAGGTAGAGGCTTTGAGAGGTGAAATGGTTTGTCCCAAGGCACATGCCCAGTGACAGCAAGACTTATCATAGACTTCTAGAACCATTCTGAAAACACTCCACTGTCACTCTCAGTCCCATACACCTCTTCCTTCAAAGTCGCTATTGATATTAGAACGAGGATAGATGATTTTCTAGATGATCAATGTGTGTGTACATCTAAATGTGTTTTTGCATTTCAAATAGCAATCCAAAATATCAACACATTTCCTCCACTTATTACATTATTTTGAATTAGAAATTTACCATTTGTATCACACACAAAAATTATTTCTCTTTTTTTCATTTACTATGCTCTTGTGACAGTATTATGATGTACTGGATAGCATGTTAAACACCAAGAATGACTTATTTTAGTTAGTCATTCAGACTTTATTTAGCTTGTACCTATTTTACATGGTTTTAATTATTTTAAATGCAGATATATGACTCAACATTTACTAGCATTTCATCTTTGGAATTTATTTAGAAAATAAAGTGTAGTTTGTGGTTTCAAGAAAAAATTAATACTCTGAATAGATGGTAATTTTATGTTCATTTTCAGAGAGATTTAGCTGTTAGCACTGCTGTTTTCCAACACTCATAAACTTCTAAATTGACTTATCTGATGCCCTTCATATCTATTTCTACTAAAGACTTAGAGTTTTATCTCTGTTGCTGCATTTTAAAATGCTTTCCATGATTGTGCATCCATCCAATGTACTTTCACAGTTGCTGTCATTTTTCTCAGATGGTAATACAGGGTAGGATGACCATTTATTATCATTCCATTCCTATCTGGTACTTAGATTCAAAGTAAGGGTGGGTGGGAGAGTGGAAGGTCTCAGATGCAGAAACTTTGTGTGAGAGTCAAACTAATGGACAATAATGGGGTAAATTGGGGAGCAAGAGAGGGTGATGGGGAAAAAAAAAACTTTACGTAAGTAACAGTAAAGAAGTAAGGATCTAAAATGGATCTACTCCCTTGATAAACTCTTCTCTGGTTCCTTTTATCTTTAGGCCATGTCCTAGCTCTTATCAGTGCCTCACTTAGCTTGTCCTAGAGGAATTATATAGCACAATCTAATGAGATGATGATAAAAATAAAGGAATACAGATTTCTTACCTTCAGCAATGCCCACATTTTTATTTGGCAGTGCTTGAAAGGGCTGCAGGAGAGCTTACTATATCAGCAATCAGATCAGCACTGAAAATAATGTGATCCATGGCATTAAGTGTATATATGTTCCTACCAAATAAATACACACATATATATGCCTATGTTGTTGTTATTAATTGCTGTCGAGTTAATCGAGTTAGTTCTGATGCATAGTGACCCTGCATAGTGTTTCTGAGGAGCAGCTGGTTGGTTTGAATAGTTGACCTTGCCTGTCAAACCAACCTTAGGGTTCAGTGCTTATCCTACAGTGCTACACCAAGACTCCCTCTCTCTCTCTCTCTCT